TACGATTAAAATCACGGCTGGCGATGACATTTTCTCCATGTTGGCTGCCAATATTTTGTTAAATATTAGCTTTAAGAAGAGACTGGACAGCCCTTTGTCTGAAACGGTCTAGGGTCTCCTGCCTGAGCAGGGGGTTGAGCTAGATGACCTCCAAGGCCCCTTCCATCTCTGCTAGTCTTGTATTCTGTAAGATGTTTTTTTTTGTGCAAGTTTCTTTTGAGGAGCCAATAATGTTACACGCGAAGGGTGAAAAGGCGAGCCACAGAATACAAACATAATAAATTAAAAAAAAACAAAAACAGGGCAGAGCAAACATGGGACTCTATATAGACTCATATAGACCCTTTTAATCTTGGGAAGTCACGTCGAACGGAGGGATCCCCGGGGTTTCAAAATAATTTCAGAAAACTTACTGTGAGTGCCTGGTTTCCTGCATTAGTAGTTACAGGCGCACTGTGTTTTAATGACGCTCCTTTCCCCTTGTCTGTGAACGATAGAAATTTAATTCTTTTTTTCAAAACCCCGATGTTTCCTGCTAGCTAACGCGATTACAATCTAAGGGGGGGATGATCAAGGATGATCCTGGCTACGTAGCTTGACGGGCAGGCGGCTTGGCCCACCTCTGACTGATTCACCAGTGACGTAAGGACCTCACGAAAGTCATTTTCACCTCCTTGTTCCCACCCATCCGGACTACGACAGGGTGGTCTTCCTGGAACCAGCTCTGAAGATAGTCCTTGACTTACAAAGTTCAAAGTTACAAAGTTTTTTCACAGTTACGACCGTCGTGGCATCCCTGCGATCACGTGACCCAAATTCAGAGGCTCGGCAACTGGCGTGTACTTACGACAGTTGCAATGTCCCCCCCCGGGGTCACGGGATCCCCTTCTGACCAGCAAAGTCAACGGGGAAGCCAGATTCACTTAACAACCAGGTCACTAGCTGAATGACTGCCGTTGACTCCCTTAGCGCTTGAGTCAAGAAAAGTCGTACGACGCACTTAGCAGGGGTCTCACTGAACAACAGAAATTTGGGGGCTCCGTTGTGGTCGTAAGTCGAGGATTACCTGTACGTGGAAGCTTTGACTTAATCCAGAATTCGGTGGCCGTGTTATCCGGCGGGAGCCACCACGCATGATACTGATTCAGCAAGATGCTTTCAGCCCCGCTTACCTTTCCCCTTTGGCGAAATCCTCTCTTCCAGAATCACCCTCTGTCCGTCAAGGCTGGAGATGGGGGCCCCGAGGTCTAAGGGGTCTTGCTCGCCGTTCTGTCATCCAATTCAGCACCGTGGGAGAAAAATGGCATTGTCATGGTTCCGACAGATGAAACTCTTCAAAAAAGAACTTCAAGGCATTGTTTACCTTGAAGGATCTTTATTCGAGAAGCATAGCGTCGGCATGTACATAGCCGAAGCCAAAATCTAATTTCCCCTCCCCTGAGCACCTAGTATCAAAGCACAATTCCCTCCTCTGATTTGCAGTCATAAATCACATTCTCCAATTAGTTTGAAATGCAGGCTTTCCCTCCAGTTCTCCAGCCCGCCAATCCTTATCATCTCTTATTTCAATAACCTTGGTTCTCACCCTAGTTACAGTATTGTTATGTCTAACTAAACTCCCATGCACATTCCTCCTCCCCCCCCCCAGTATCATCCAATTCTAACTCTAATTCTAAGAGTAAAACATAAGAAGGAGAAGGGTTGCATCTCCCTATGTTGTCAAAGCAAAAACTTCCGATGTTAGTAGCGTTGACATGTATTTTTTTAGAGGAACTTCATTTGTAGCTTTTCATTGCAGCACTGTGAGTTAGCACGAATAAAGCAATATGGATCGTTTAGAGCAGGGGTAGGCAACCTCAGCTCTTTTATGACTCATGGACTTCAACTCCCAGAATTCCTGAGCCAGCCTGGCTCAGCTTGGAAACCTCTCCCTTTCCCCTCAGCATGGCTGGCTCAGCAATTCTGGGAGTTGAAGTCCACCAGTCATAAAAGAGCCAAGGTGGCCTACCCCTGGTCTAGACTCTAGGCCACTTTATGACTCATGGACTTCAACTCCCAGAATTCCTGAGCCAGCATGGCTCAGCTTGGAAACCTCTCCCTTTCCCCTCAGCATGGCTGGCTCAGGAATTCTGGGAGTTGAAATCCACGAGTCATAAAAGAGCCAAGGTTGCCTACCCCGGGTTTAGAGCATCGTTTTTCAATTATGATACGGGTACAGCAAATTATACTCGTGTTAATTAATGGGAAAGAGCCTCTAAGCGGTTTACAGAGTCAGCAACTTCCCTGCAACAACCTGGGTGCTCATTTTACCGACCTCGGAAGGAAGGAAGGCTGAGTCAACCTTGAGCTGGTCAGGATCGAACTGCAGGCAGCCGGCAGTCAGTAGAAATAGCCTACAGTGCTAATCTCACCCAAAGTAACAGGGTTGTAAAGCAGTTTTATACCGAGTTCCTTCTTCTCTACGGGTGTATTTTCTAGAATTCCAGGCTCTCTGCGTAAGTTTTATTTCTTCGTTTATTTCTTTTATTCACCTCGATGCCCCCTGAATTTGGGCAGCTGGCAATGCATTGGGCAGTACAGGAACAAAATATACTAGGAAGTGAAACCAAAATGAAGTAGAAACAGAAGAGAAAGGAAGAAGAACAAGATGGTGGAGGTGGCAGGCACTCTCCGCCATCCGACAGTCTCTCATCCAGGCAATGGCGGCCCAGGCATCCTGGGTTCCTCCCCCCTGCAGTTGGGGGGGGGGACAAACAGGCTTTTATGGTCCTATGGACGTCTGCAGAGCAGGGGCAAGATGGCTCTCAGGGGGAGCCCCATTCTGGGGGGCAAAGAGCCAGGTCCAAAAAAATGACACTCAAATCAAAGTAACCCAAAGTGCACCTCTTTATTTGATTTGAGGGTCATTTTTTTGGGGACCTGGCTTTCTGCCCCACCGGAATGGGGCTCCCCCTGTGACCCGTCTTGCCCCTGCTCTGCAGACGTCCAGAGGGCCATAAAGGCCTGTTTGTCCCCTTAACTGGGGGGGGGGGGAAACCAGGATGCCTGGACAGCCATCTTCGCCTGGATGAGAGACTGTCGGATGGTGGAGGGTGCCTGCCATCTTCGCCATCTTGTTCTTCTTTCTTTCTCTTCTGTTTCTACTTCATTTTGGTTTTACTTCTTAGTATATTTTGTTCCTGTACTGCCCAATGCATTGCCAGCTGCCCAAATTCAGGAGGCATCGACGTGAATAAAAGAAATGTCTGAAATAGTATAGGGTTTCCTGCCTGAGCATGGGGCTGGACTAGAAGACCTCCAAGGTCCCTTCCAACTCTGTTATTCTATTCTATTCTATTCTATTCTATTCTATTCTATTCTATTCTATTCTATTCTATTCTATTCTAATTCTATTCCATTCCATTCTCTCTTCTCTTCTCTTCTCTTTTCTTCTCTTCTCTTCTATTCTAATTCTATTCCATTCCATTCTCTCTTCTCTTCTCTTCTCTCTTCTCTTCTCTTCTCTTTTCTTCTCTTCTCTTCTCTATTCTATTCTATTCTATTCTAATTCTACCCTGTAATTATATTCTATCCTGTAATTCTATTCTATTCTATTCTATTCTATTCTATTCTATTCTAATTCTATTCCATTCCATTCTCTCTTCTCTTTTCTTCTCTTCTCTCTTCTTATTCTATTCTATTCTATTCTATTCTATTCTATTCTATTCTATTCTAATTCTATTCTAATTCTACCCTGTAATTATATTCTATCCTGTAATTCTATTCTATTCTATTCTATTCTATTCTATTTCTATTTCTATTTCTATTTCTATTTTGTATTCTATTCTATTCTATTCAATTCCCATTCCATTCTAAACAAATGAAGAAATAAAACTTACGCTTACCTGGAATTCTAGAAAACATACATGTAGAGATAAAGGAACTCAGTATGAAACTGCTTTATAATCCTATTACTTTGGGTGAGATTAGTGTGTCTTTTAATAAGCAACGAGGTAAGGCCGTTTTTATTTATCGTAAAGAAAACGCCGTGCAATGAAGCTAAAAAAACCCCCCAAAACCCAAAAACTATTTTAGTTTAACGAATTACTTACTAGTCTTGCCACGAGGTTATTAAGATTCAGTCCATATTTCGCCACGACCGGACGCAGAACCTCTGTGACCGGCTTGGTGGGTTTAGCCTTTAAGCCAACCGATCGGTTTATAGGGACGAGGTCGAGCCTAAAACGGGAGAGACAAACCGAGTGAATATTTGTTACCGAGAGCCACTCGGGCTTCGTCCCACCGTCTCTTTGACAAAGTGGGAAGCTAAGAAAACTGACAACAATATCCTTTTTTCTTTTTGCATTCGGTGTATTTACGTCCAACAGGTCATAAATGTGATCGTACAGTTCACAGTTGCCATTGTGGCTTTTTTTAAAAACAACTCCCACCCGGTTGAATCTCCTCTTGGACAGGCACAATCCTGGAAACATCATCCTTGTTGCTTGGATTCAGCACTCAGAATACAGATCGTCCTTGACTTACGACAACAATTGAACTCAAAATTTCGGCCGCTCAGCCAGACGTTTGTAAAGCGAGCCTTGCCCTGTTTTATGGCCTTTCCTGCCACCGCTGTTAAGTGGATCGCCGCAGCGGATACGTTAATAACACGGTTGCTAAGGGAATCTGACTCCCCCCATGGACTTTGCCGGTCAGAAGGCTTGCAAAAGGGGACCACGTGACCTTAGGACACGACCAACGGTCGTAAGTAGGAGTCAGTTGCCAAAAGGTGTCTGAATTTTGATCACGTGACCGCAACGGGTCAGGCTACAAAGGTCGCTGAGCGTGGGCCACTGTCCCAAGTTGTTTTTCTCGGTGCTGTTATTATTATTATTATTATTATTATTATTTAAATTTATATACCGCCCTATCTCCCTTACGGGACTTCGAACGCTCACCAAACGAATCGTCGCTAAGTTGAGGACTGCCCAGTATAACCAAGTTGTTAAGTGACTCCGGCATCCCCCCGTTGGCTTTGCCCGCCGGAAGGTCGCGAAAGGGGATCGCACATGACCGCGGGGTGTTGCGACCGTCGCAAATGCGAACCCCGTTGCCGAGCGTCTGAATTTGGACCACGTGGCCCGTGGGGATGCTGCGAACGGCCGTTAAGTGTGAACGACGGTCATAAGGGAGGGAGGGAGGGAGGGAAGAGGCACCTGAGCAGCGTTCCCATCTTACCGAAATAAAGTCCGTCTTTCCAAGCGGAGACTTTGAGCATCCAGAATGCTGCTGTCCTGGTGCAGTACGAGGGGCTGCGAATATACAAGAAGACAAGGCGTCACATTTAACGGGCGGACGGTTCGCCGGCTGAGAACTTCCAAGGCCTCCCCTGAAGAGGGGAGGTTTTTACTCCACGGAGGACGTCCGGAGATGAGGGTTCCCATTAAGTCTTTGGTTTGCTTCAAACTGGCTTTGCTTCCGGAAGACTGAGCGAAGCATGGCGGCAGCGCCACCAACTTAGTACGAAAATGCACCTGAAGGCAGGACAAGAAGCAACGGATGGAAGGAGAGAAGCAACCTGGAGCTCAGGAGAAACTTCCTGACAGTGAGAACAATTAACCAGTGGAACAACCTGCCTCCAGAAGCGGTGAATGCTCCAACACTGGAAGTTTTTAAGAAGAGACTGGACAGCCATTTGTCTGAAATGGCATATAGGGTTTCCTGCCTGAGCAGGGGGTTGGACTAGATGACCTCCAAGATCCCTTCCAACTCTGTTATTCTATTCTATTCTATTCTATTCTATTCTATTCTATTCTATTCTATTCTATTCTATTTTCCAATATCTATTCTATTTTCCAATATCTATTCTATTCTATTCTATTCTATTCTATTCTATTCTATTCTATTCTATTCTATTCTATTCTATTCTATTCTATTCTATTTCTATTCTAGTCTATTTTCCAATATCTATTCTATTCTATTCTATTCTATTCTATTCTATTCTATTCTATTCTATTCTATTCTATTCTATTTTCCAATATGTATTCTATTCTATTCTATTCTATTCTATTCTATTCTATTCTATTCTATTCTATTCTATTCTATTCTATTCTATTCTATTCTATTCTATTCTATTCTATTTTCCAATATGTATTCTATTCTATTCTATTCTATTCTATTCTATCCTATCCTATCCTATCCTACCCTACTCTATTCTATTCCTCCAAGGTCCCTTCCAACATCATCATCATCATCATTATTATTATTATTATTACTACTACTACTACTACTACTACTACTACTACTACTACTACTACTATTATATTATCATTACTATAAACAATGCATTTTTGTAATAGTTTCAATCAACTGAGTAGAAAAACGGTCATATGTCCCCTTATTCAGGGCCATCATCACTTCGAACGGCCACTAAATGAACTGTTGTTAAGTCGAGGACTACCTGTATGGTAGGCAAACTCTGCCCACAGTTTTGGAGTTCGGTCCCGGCAGGGCTCAAGGCTGACTCAGCCTTCCACCCTTCCGAGGTCGGTAAAACGAGGACCCAGACTCTTGGGGGATCATAGGCAAGTCACGCTTCTACCTTGTAAACCACCCAGAGCGTGCTGTCAAGCTTTAAATGCTGTTGCTATTGCTAATATCGCTCTTGGGAAAATGCAGCTTTTCAATGTTAGTTAATTAATTTTTTTTAAAAAAACACCCATAAAAGTACCTTATCTCCACCGATTAAAAAAAGGTCGACTGCGGCCATGCTGATGCGTTGCCGTTCGCAGAAGTCGGACAGCACCTCTTTGATGGAGGACCCGGCTCTTACGGGCATGACAGAGGTGGAGCCGTCTGGGAGGGTGACGTGGCAGCATTTGGGGGGCTTCTCTTTCGCCGCGGGGGGTCCCGGTGCTCGGCAGGGCTCGCCCTTTGGAAGAGAAAGCGTTAAGAGTCCGCTGTGGAAACCGAGCGGGGAATTTAAACAAAGTACTTAGCAGTTGTTTTTTTTAAGCAAATCACAACACATTTAGAACACAAAATCATAAGAGTGAGAAGGGACCTCGGAGGTCTTCTAGTCCAGCCCCCTGCTCAAGCAGGAGACCCAGACCATTTCAGACAAATGGCTCTCTAACCTCTCTTTGAAAACCCTCCAGTGTTGGTGTGCACCCACAACTTCTGGAGGCAAGCAGTTCCACTGGTTAATTGTTCTAACTGTCAGGAAATTTCTCCTTAGTTCTAGATTACTAAGCTTCTGTGGCGAGCATATTTTTCATCACACTCTTAAGTTTCATAAGCTTAGATCTCTGCTCTGAAGCCATATGCTCATTGTCCATTTAGGCATTGACTTTGAGAAATCCTGGAGAACCAGAATGACATCCAAGTGACTGGAGGAGACCCACAGAGTTCTGTGTTCAAGACAAGAGAAGAAGGAAGAGTAAGCAAATATCTAGTAAGTTTCTCCTTTGTTCTTGGTTGCTTCTCTCCTTGATTAGTTTCCATCCGTTGCTTCTCGTCCTGCCTTCGGGCGCTTTGGAGAAGAGCTTGACTCCCTCTTCTTTGGGGCAGACCCTCAAGTACTGGAAGACTGCTATCGTGTCAGCCCCGATCCTTCTTTTCACTAAACTATCATCATAGTTCATCATCGTGTATATTTTCAATCCCAAAAGGCAAAACTTACCATCTCGAGGCTGGCAGCTGAAGACAAGGAATCTTGAGATTTATGTCTGTAAGACAGCCCACCAGGTTGACAAGACTCTGGGGAGAAATATGGAAGTCATATGTCTCAATTAGCTAGTGTTAAAACCTCCTAATCTTGCTCACAAAATCAGCTTTCGGGACTTCTCGGCTTAAATCTCCGAATGAAATCTAGACTTCCGACGGGGCCAGTTTTCGTTCTCTAACCGTACAAAAAGCACTCAGAACTGTGGTTTCAAAAAGGAACCGATACGTGGTGTGACGGACCTTCTGGAGATTTTCCACCTTCCATCTCCATATAACCAGAATGGAATTGATTGATTGATTGTATATGTGTATCGCCGTGCTCCTGACAAGCCACACACCGCCACAGTTTTTAGTACGGCTATAAATAATAGTCGTAACTCTCACATCTATCGAGAGCGCATCAATAAAACGATAAATAATATATCGTCCAATTCAACCACGACGCAAAAATCTTTAAACGTTTAAGTCCAGGAAAGAGCAGCGGTTTACACAAGCAGGTTTCTGTTGTTGTTGTTGTTGTTATTATTATTATTATTATTATTATTATTTATTGAATTTATATACCACCCTATCTCCCTTACGGGACTCAGGGTGGTGAACAGGCGATAATAAAAAACACGATAAATATACGCAAGTTTCTGTTCTAAAATCAAATTAAATAACAGGCCTGCTCTAAAAATACCCCATACAAAACCCCCACTGAAACAAGTGGGAAGGGAGAGAACCAGGCTTCCAGGGGGAAGGATGACACACACTGGATGCCCCTGCAAGACAGGTCTGCGCCCCCCTGTCCTGCCCAGGTCTCCCCGCCCCAGGTCTGCAGGTGTCAGAAGAGGAGCAAAACACCTGAAACAAGGAAGATGTTCCTTTGGGGGTGGGTGGGATGCAGCCCAAAGGATAAAGAGACTCATGTGCGCAAACCACTTTGAATTTGGGCCAGAAAAACTGCATCTGTTTGCTTCTCTTTGTCACCTTCTCATCCTGGGCTAAATAAATCAGTAACCCTGACACCTGGATCACCACTGCATGCGCCAGGGAAGCCACAGGCCTCACAGTTTGAGGTCAAGGTGCCTGTCCTATCGGCAAATTCCATTAAACCCAGAATTCCTCCTCTTCCTCCCTCCCTCATCTCCTTCTTTATCTCCCTCATCTCCCTCCTTCCTCCTCTCCCTCCCTTTCCCTCCCCTCCCCTCCCTC